TCTGGAACAAGTGATGGGGTAAACAAAAATAACTTGCTTGGTGAAAATCAGCCAGTGTACACCAAGAAATAGACAAAAGCTCTAAGCCTTAGCATTAAACCGAAGAATAATGAAGTTCTTTTGAAAAAGCTAACAGTACATTTGACTGTCCCCTGATTTAAGATTCTAGATCATTTGTGAGAATGTAGTTGTCAAACTTTTGTGAAAAGAGTGCCTTGCCAGGCATTGGTGGCACACGCCTTTAATCCAAGCCCTTGGGAGGCAGAGGCAGGAGGATCTTTGTGAGTTCAAGACAGCCAAGGCTACACAGAGAAACCCTATCTCGAAAAACCAGAAAGAAAAAAGAACCTCTATAAATATTTCCAAGTAGAGAGATGACAAGTACTTTCAAATCTGATATAAAAAGTATATGAAACATAAATAGTATATAAGACATAAGCAGTACATAAAATGCTAGGATAAGCTATCCAAAGAATTTAGCCACTATCATGTATGTCTATGTAAATATGCATACACACATGCATATGTGTGAATACACTCTATATATTACTGTATATAGTTGGTCCTGTTTATCTGAGAGTTTTGTACTCATGAATTCAACCAATTTGCTGATGGAAACTATTCTGTACTGAATATTATTCCCTAAACAGTAAATCCATTTATAGAGCATTTACATTGCACTATAATTATACGCTATGTATGTATGATCAGTACCCAGAAACGACCTAAAGTATAGTAGACCTGTCCAACATAGTGGCATACACTGCAGAGACAGGAGAATTGTTTTATTGAGTCCTCAAGCTTGGGTCTACTGTCAGTTGCATGGCAGGACTTAAGCATCCACAGATTTTGGTATGTGTTGGGGATTTCTGGAACCATATATTTCTTTAGAAAATAAATTTGGCCAGCAGTGGTGGCCCACACTTTTAACCCAGAGCTCAGGAGGCAGAGTCAGGCAGATCTCTCTGAGTTCGAGGCCAGCCTGATTTATAGAGCTGCTTCCAGGACAGCTAGGGCTACACAAAGAAACCCTGTCTCAGGAAGCAAAAGGAAAAAAAAGAGAGAAGAGAAAAATGTAAATTTTTCACTGTGATTCATTTGTTGTATACAAGGGGGAAAATTTCCTTCCATTTTGTATTATAGAGAAGAAAGGAGGTTAATAAGTAAATGCTTAAAATATCAACTAAAAGAAGGAAAAATCAACATTAAATTAGATATGGAAACCAGTCTGTTCCTAATTGTTTTCTGTACAATTGGGGGTTATTAAAATTACCTTGAGGGTACCTGAGAAAAGCCAATCATAGTTGGGCATTACAGTGTTGCCTCTACAGTAGAATACAAACTCAGCACTTTGTGTATGTTGAAAATGGATTCTCACTACATTTCTCAGGCCAGTCTTGAACTTGAGAGCTCAAGTGGTTCTGCCTTAACCTCTGGGATTGCTGGGACTATAAGTGGGTGATACCATCATAGTCCCAGTACTGTATAACTTCTCCTTTTCTGCACCTCTCAGCAGGCCTCAGGTAAACTCAGGTCCAACTGAAAAGGACCACTTGTGTTCACATATCTAGTTATTGGACTAAGGCCTCCCTCAAGTCCTTCCCCTAAGTGCCCATCAGTTGAACTTACAACATGGCAACTGATTTCATCAGCGTATGTTAAAAAAAAAAAACATATTTTTGTCATACTCTCTTCATGAGAAGCAAGTACGTGATCCATGCTCAGGGAGGGAACTGTACAAAGTGGTAAATACAGGATAGGGGTGTCATGGATAACCCTGTCTAAAGTGACCTAACACAAAACCCTAATCTAGAAAGTCAAACCTGAGACCAGAGTTAGTTGGACCGTTCAGTCTGTTTTAGAGTGATCTCTAACTTCACCTGCTAGCTGCTAGTGAAGTTCAGATAGGAGCCAGTCAGGATGGCTGGTCCTTTCCTTTCTTGGGCATGCATGCATCTATGTTATTAGTATTGAGTACTCAGTGCATCATATGCAAAAATGAGAATGAAGCTAATGCATTCATGATGTGACAGAACTGGATAAAAAGATGTGTTGTGATTTCATTGCATATTAGTAAAATTTAAAGTAGAAGCATACTTAACAAACCTGCTCCCCTCACAACACTGTTCTACTGAACTGTTGTCAGAAACATGGGGGGGGGGTCTTTGTAAAGAGTGCTGTCTTCAGTTTCTCTTGACGCTATGTTTGTAAGTTAGCCTTTTACAAGACTTTAATGGATTGTTTTTCTACCTAAAAAGACCCCAGTACCTTCTCTAAAAAATAGATGCTGAATTACCAAAGACAAAATCAGCAGACACTTTCCATAATCACTCACACAATGTTCCCTTAAGATTCAGACCCTGACTCCAACTGTTGGCCTACTTAAGACTATTTACCCTCTGGCAGAGTGACCCATGTTGACAAAGACTGCTACAAATGTCAGTCCTAGCTGGAAGGAAAGCTCAGTGGTGCTTCAGGTGATAAAAGTGCCAGGTATCAGGTGATGATGGGTAAGGAAACCCACAGGAAAAGTAGCTGTGAGTCTAGTCTTGTGTGAAACTTTTTAGTCAGCCTCCTAGAGAAAGGAGCCACTTGCAGAGGAACCATGTAAAACGCACTCCCCGGAAAGGAGTGATGCGCTTGGGGCTGCACTCTGAACTTCTAGCCACTCCCATGATAGTCTTCCAGCTCTGCCCTGAAGTCAAGGAATCTAGCTTCCCTGCAGCCCAAGGGAGAAGTCATTATTTTTCCTGAAGGGCAATGCTGGGAGGTCCAAGTACTGGGCCCTGGTGGTGGGAACTTAAAGGAGGAAGAAAGGATGGGTGTTAGTGTGGCTACAGTGTCTCTCATCCCCCTAACAGAAAACCCCGGATGTCCCCCTTTTACAAATGAGGAGTGCAACTCAAGAGGTGAGTGGTGAGCTTGGGTTGAAATCCAGGCTTGTCTGGATGTCACTCCTGGCTCCCTCACAGCAGCAGTTTCTGGGCTGCCTAAATTAGAGACTCTGTAACCGCATTTGACTACTCCCTCTCCCTGATAAGCAGGCCAGACATCTTCCCCGAGCATGTAAGAGAGCACTTGGCTCAAATGCTGTCATGAGACCTAAAAGTGGGACAGTGGTCAAGGTCTGGAGTAGCAATGTGTTATCACAGAGGTGATGAGAAGTGGCATTGGGAAACCTGACACTGGACGACAGAATACAGCAAAACCTTTGAGTTTTAACCCTAGTATAAATAAGGGAACCATTAGAGTACAGATGAGGATGGCAGTGTGAGAGAGTGAAACCTGCTGCTGTTTCTGTGTTTTGGGGAAGAGTAGAGCTTAAGGCATGCATTGAGTTCACCAGAAATACTTTGACCTAGTTTGTACAGTCAGTCTCACACAGATCAGTCTTCCAGACTATGCCTTATACTCTTTGGGACAAGAATGTTTGTTCATCAAAGAGATGTTTTTTTGGTGGTGGTATTAGTGGTCACATATATCTTTTATGAACAGGAAAGAGAATGTGAGATGTTAAGTAGAAATGCCTGGTCTGGCAGAGCATAATCTACAATATGCAAGGGCCTGGGTTCATCCCCAGCACTGTGGGAAAGAAACAACAGAACGGGGATGTCATTCAAGTGGAAATGTTGTGTGTTTGAGTGTATGTAAGGGGCAGGAGAGACAGCTCAGAGGTCAAGAGTACCTGCTGCTCTTACAGAGAACCTAGGTTTGGTTGCCAGCACCCACGTAGCTGTTCATAGCTGCCTGTACCTCCGGTTTCAAGGGTCTGGCTCCCTCTTGTGGTCTTCTTGGTATCACATGATGCACGTACACATGAAAAATACAGGTGATTTTTTTTTTTTTTTTTTTTTTTTTGTTTTGTTTTTGTTTGTTTTGTTTTTTAAAGCAGGGTTTCTCTATGAGGCCTAGTTGTCCTGGAACTCGCTCTGTAGACCAGGCTGGCCTCGAACTCACAGAGATTCACCTGCCTCTGCCTCCCAAGTGCAGGGATTAAAGGCATGAACCACCACTGCCTGGATGAAATAAATCATTTTTAAAGTATATATGGTAAACCTTCAGATATTGTTAATAACTCAAAAATCATGGAAAATCATAAATTCAAAAGCTTCACCAGAGAATAATGCAAAAATAGTTGTAAAGGAAAGGTAGAGGGATGAAAAATAAGTGGGGTAAACAGCAAAAATTAAGAGGGAAGATATATTCCAACTCTATCAGTAATTAAAAAAAATAAACGTGAATGGACTAGACAATCCATTTGGACTGCAGAGATTATCAACCTAGGTTAAAAAAAAAAAAAAAAAAAAAAGACTCAGGAGGCAGAAGTAGGCAGATCTCTGTGAGTTTGAGGCCAGCCTGGTCTACACAGCAAGTTTCAGGACAGCCAGAGCTACACAGAGAAACCTTGTCTCAAAAATAAAATAAAGTAAAATGGAAATAGGAAAAAAATTAACAAAATGGAAAGGTTTAAAAGTGGGTGTGAGTGCCATGGTGCCTGTGTGGAAGTCAGAGCAACTTTTGGAGTCAGTTCTCACCCTCCACCTCGCTAAGGCGGGGTCTCTCACTTCTGCCACTACACTGCACACTTCTGGCCGACTGGCCCATGGTCTGCCCATTCTCCTGTCTCCTTTTCCATCTCACAGGAAGAGTCTTGGATTAAAGATGCCCAGCGCTGCATCCAGATTTTTACCTAGATTTCAGGGGTTGAGCTCAGGTCATCAAGCTTGTTCAGCAAGTACTATTACCTTCTTCTTTTTTAATGAATAAAATTGTCAGTCTTTTCCTGGATTGGCTGAAAAAAAAAGGGGGGGGAGAAAACTCAAATTATTAGAATCAGAAAAGAGAGATAGTAATACTAACGTTATATAAATAATGATTATAAAAGAATCCACGAACTGTCCTATGCCAATAAACTGACAAGTAAAGTGGTCATATTATTAGAAATATCTGTTAATTAATGACATGTTCACCTAGTGATTGACATTGTGATATATTTACAGGCTGCTGCCTTCTCCTCTCAAAGATGCAGTGGAAGTGTCCACCTGGAGAAGATGCTACACAATGCAGGAGGTGAACTCAGCCCTGAGTAAAATCCAGCTGGTGGGATATTCTCAAAAAATTGTGAGTGTTGATATCTTCGTGAGTGTTTTCATGAGTGCCACCCCTCTGTTGAGTCCCTGGGGGACTCTTGGAGCTCTCTTTTTCAAGCTTCCCTCTCATCCTCATGCTAGTTCCAAGAAAAGGGGATGTAGGTGGATCTTCTCCAGCCTCTTTGCTTTTTAGTGGTACTCAATCATCACCCCTGTTCCCTGACATCAGCTAGAACTGGGTTGGCCAGCTGGTGATGAGTCTGAGAAACTAGACACAGCTTTACCCATCTGAGACATAGGCAATAGAAAACAAACAGCTCTGTTGTTGACCTGCAGTTAGAACCATTCGGAACTGAACCTAGCCCAAAGTGGAAAAGGAATAGTCTTTGACTCTTGGTTCTTGGGGTAACTTGTTACCCTTGCTCTTAAATGCCTGGCCCTGTGTATCTGGTGACAAGACAGGAGCAGAAAACTCCAGGATGGCTTCCGTCTGTTACTTCCTTTTGTCTTCAGTTTCCTTTAAAATAAGGACATTTCTGTTGCTTTTTCCTTTAAACTGACATAGCTTGCTGATAACATGTTCTCTGGGGTTTTGTTTTGTTTTTGTTTAGGAGCTTTTTGGTGCTGTTCAGGTGACCCCTCTGAGCTCGGGCTATGCCCTAGGAAGCTCCAACTGGATTATCCAGTCCCATTATGAGAAAGTGTCTTACGTCTCCGGATCCTCCTTGCTTACCACACACCCTCAGGTAAATTAACTTTTAATCCACAGCCTGTGTTTACTTAATTCAAATTCAGAATGTCTCCAGTGTACTATGAGCAGTTTTTAAACCTTCACTGTCTCTATTTCTTAGATACTCTGGGAGAGTTAAGACTGTTTAGGTCTTTATATTCAGGATTGTGTTTTCCTTGGGAGAAATTCTTTTGTGCTCAAGGTCACCTCTAGGTTGATGATTCCTGGGCCTTCCAAGACCCTGCCTGGCCTGATGTAGGCCACAGAGATTGTTGATTCTCTGAGCACTCACTAACTACTGAAGGCTTATCAAAGGCAGGGAGCAGGCTGATATCATTGTCAGGATTGAGTGGCCACCAGACAAGGTCTCTGCTTATAAGTCTTATCTTCAGTTGATAGTCACTAGGACAAAGATGAATAAAGAAATGAGCTGTGTGATTTCAGACTGGGTAGGAGTCGTGTGAACAGCACAGCAGGTTTATTTCTAGGGAGATGGAGATAGTCTAGACCGGCTGGTCCATCTGAAACCAAGACTGAAGAGCTGTGTGATGGTGTGGAGGAAAGCCTACAGAGCTGGCTGATGAAGAGTCCCTGGAGCAGAGCAGGCAGAGCATGTAAAGAGTGGAGAAAGCCCATGGGACTACAGTATACTACACAGCCAGGAAAGGAGCAAGGCCAGGTCACACAGGCCTTTGTAGACTGTGATGAGTTCTGATTGGCTTGTTTTGTGGTATAATTGTGGTATGTTTACTTGTACTATGGGTTTGTGCATTTGTATATGCATGCATGAGGAAAAAGATCAAGGCTAGGCATCTTTCCTTGATCCATCTCTACCTTGATTCTGTGAGACAGGGTCTCTCACTCAGCTTGAAGCTCACTGATGGGAGATGCCCTTCTGTATATGTTTCTCTTATTGGTTGATGAATAAAACACTGACTGTCCAGTAGGCAGGAAGTATAGCTAGGGCTACCAGATGAGGAGAAGCTGGGGAGAGGAGGCAGAGGGAAGCCGCCAGGGAGAGATGCCATGTAGTCGCTAAAGGAGTAACATGTTGAAGCCTTCCCCTGTAAGATAAGGCCACGTGGAAGTACTTAGATTAATAGAAATGGGTTAATAATTAAGAGAGAGCCAATAAGAAGCCTGAGCCATTGGCCAAATAGTTTATAAATTAATAGACGCCTCTCTGTGTTTATTTGGGACTAAATGGCTTCAGGACCAGGTGGAACAAAAACCTCTATCTATAGCTCACCAATTCTGCTAGACCAGTTAGCCAATGAGGATCCACCTGTCTCCGCCCCCAACTCAGACATGTGCCATCAGACTCTGCTTTTTAAAGTGGGTGCTCGGGGTCTGAACTCAGGTTCTCATGCTTATGCTGCAGGCATTTTACCTACTGAGCCACTTCCCAAGTCCCGCCCTATTGTATGTTATGTTTTGTTTGATTGAAATGGGGTCTTAGTTTGTAGCTCTGGCTGGCCTAAAACTCACCATCTAGACCAGTCTAGCTTCCAATTGGCAGATTAATCTGCCTCTGCCTCTGCCTCTGCCTCCCATGCACTAGGCTTAAAGGCTCGCATCACCCACCACCCCTTCCCACTGTATTTTAATGTGGAGGGGAAACTATTGGCAGGTTTAAGTTAATCATGCATTACAGTTACAGTTGGCAGTAAATAAGTTACATATAAACATTGTTATGAATATAATAATCCTTGGGCATTGTAGAGAACTTACTGTTTCTTTTTTGTTCAGAAAGGAAGAGTGGTCAAGATTAGGTAATCAGTTGCTGAACATATACCTTATAGGAGTCCCTGTCACATTTTATCTTTGAAATTAATTGTTTATTAATGTAATCTTAATATGTTATTATCTTCATAATAAAACAGAAGTTGAGGCTTAGACCTGGAGCCCAGGCCCTTCCGCTTCCTTTGTATTTCTACCCTTTCCCTGACAGTGGTCTATACCACAACCACCTCCTACTGCCTCAACGTTGCTTTCCCTGGGTACATAGAGAATCCTCATCCCTGTGCTCTGTTCCTTTGTGAGGTTAATGCTTGCCACACTTCTTACAGAAAGTCCTCATGTTTTAGAAATATTTGTGACAGATAAATTTATGATTTAAGCATGATATTTGTATGTGTATACGTACATATACACCTTACAGAATGGCTGACTCAAGCTAATTAGCTTACCCCATTTTCAAATAGGAAAAAAATAATTCTGTATTTTGTCTGAAACACTGGGTAGTGCCGCCAGTCTGCAGTGTTTATGTTTTCTGTTGGGGCGAGGACAGGCTCTCATGTGACCCAGACTGGCCTCAAACATGATGTATAGCTAAGGATGACCTTGAACTCTGTCCTCCTGCCTCTACCGCCAACCTATTATCATTATAGGTGTACCACCACCCCTGGCTCATACCTTCTTTTACAACCAAGTTTTATCTCAAGGTCTAGAGGAAACAAGTTCCTATGTTTTCCTGTAGCTAGCAGAATTCTGGGCCCTTCCCGCTTATTGAAATCAAAATCCCATCAATGTCATCATAATCTGCCTCATTGAATCAGATTTTTTTATTGGCAGCTTTTTTCATTCTTGATGTATTCTGCCCTAAAAGACAGGAGGATGACTTGGCTGCCAGCTGCTCTGATTTGTCCTGCTTAGATCAAAACCTTTACAGTACTGTTGACGTAATTTCCAGTAAATTGTCCTTACAAGGGCCATAAATTTAAAGGGAAAATAAGGTCTTGAGAATGATGAGCAACATACCTAAATAATTGGTTTTAATTTCTATTTGGCAACCTGTACTATATGTAACAAAGAAAAGAAATAGATTTTTCCTTCACCCGTATTCTTGGTTTTGCATTGAATAAGTGGGAATAAAGAAGCTGTAGTTTGAAAAGAAGCCTGATGGTCTACTGTGGAGGTCAAGAAACTGTGCCCGGGGCTGTGCCTGACCCACCACTTACTTTGAGGGGGGGGGGAGTGATTAAATAAATAAACAAACCAGGTTTTATTTGGTTACAGACATAACTTGTTTGTGGATCACTTATAGCTCTCGGTATATGCTATGACGGCAGGTTTAAAGTTAAACTTCACAGAAAGTGCATTGTCCTCTGGGCTGCCTAATCGGAGCCTCTGCAATCATTGAAACACAGCACGATGCTGCAGTGATATGTAAATACAAGGGAATGAGGCTTTTGTTTAAAATGGAAGTGGCAAGAGTAGAGAGGTGGCTTTAAGAAAATGTAGGCTGAGCTGGACGGTGGTGGCGCACACCTTTATTCCCAGCAATTAGGAGGCAGAGGCAGGTGGATCTCTGAGTTCAAGGGCAGCCTGTGCTGTGGAATGATCCTTCTGTACACTGTAAATATGTATTACTCTCATTGGTAAATAATAAAGCTGTTTGGACTATAGCAAGGCAGGATAAAGTTAGGTGGAACAATCAGACTAAGGACTGGGATGACGAAGGGCAGAGTCAGGAGAGACTTGATTGAGTCGCCCAAGAAACAAGATGCCAGAAGACCAGTAAAGCCACGGGCCATGTGGCAGTACATAGATTAATAGAAATGAATTAATTTAAGAGCTAGTTAACAATAAGCCTTAGCTATTGACTGAGGATTTCGTAATTATAAGCTTTTGTGTGTTTATTTGGGGCTAGGCCATTGGAACAGAAAAATTGTGCCTCCATTTGTAAGCCTGGTCTACAGAGCAAGTTCCAGAACAGCCGAGGCTACACAAAGAAACCCTGCCTTAGAAAGAAGGGGAGGGGAAGGAAGAGAAGAGAAGGGAAGAAGGAAAGGAAAGGATAATCTTTAATTCAAGAAACTTCTATGCTAGGCCAACAAGATGGCTCACCGGGTGATAGATAGATCCTACTGCCAAGTCTGAGGACCTGAGTTCAATGCCTGGGACTTATGTGATGAAAGGGGAGAACAGACTCCCACAGGTTGTCCTCTCACTGTGCACAAATACACACACTCACAAAATAATTACAAATTTAAATGCAGAGCATTGATTGGTGGCCACTGTCTTCAGGGGAAGAAAAGTGACGTAAAAGATTCTGTGTGTGAATGGCATTGAGAATAAGGATAGGTGCATTTGACAGATCTGTCTCAGAAGTAGATTGTAGATAATGATCTATGTGAACCAGAATATTAGCTAGAAATACAAGGCCAGAACCTGGGTTGAAGGCAAGTCTAGAAACAAGTTGGAGAATCTTCATACTTCCTTTAATTAAATAAATAAAAGTCTGAGGGCCAGAGATCTACCTGTAGGAAAATATTTACCTGTAGACCATGAAAGGAAGAAAAGTGATCTTGTGTAAGTATGGCTGGAAAGAAAGAAGAAAATTGAGGCTGTCCCAGAGAAGAGTATGTTGTGCAGGAAGGAGGGGCACAAATTCTCAGCGCTGACCCTGCTGGCACTGACACTCAGCTACCATGCCCAGCTCTGACTCCTGTGCCCCCTCTGATGGTATTGTCTGCAAAGACACCACTGTGTGTCACTTAGATCTTCTCTTCCTTCTGGCTGAAATCTCCAGTGCGGTGTCGACACACAGTGATTTTACTAAGTTTTAAAGGGAGTGCTTTTATAATCCCTTAGAGGATGCTTTACAGTCCCTTGGATGAAATGTGTTCGTGATCCATGCTGTTTTTTAAGGAGTTTCTCATTTTTACTTTCTGGTTTTTTGTTTTGTTTGTTTTGTTTTGTTTTTGTTTTTGTTTTTTTAGACCTGGCCCCCTTGTAGAGTGTGAGATAAGCTTATGATCTTCTGCCCTGTATTTCCTTCCTTCCTTATATCTTAGGGTTAAATTTGTTGCCCTACCCCATTTCACTCTCCTGTTGTCATTTAACTGTTAGTTTTGGTATGCAGTGTTTTGTGGTTCATCTTAAATAGGTTATGATGCCCTCCACAGTCTTCACTCCTTAAGTAGCCCAGTGGTATTTTACTGCACTTTTATTTTCAGTCCATTCTGTCTGGTTAGACTTGGATTAGACAGGACTTTTTTTTTTTTTTTTTAATTCTTGGTTTTGCCGCTGTTAGCACATTTAATTGTACATACTAATGTATTTCACTGCACTATTTCCACACATGCATGCAGTGCATATTGATCATAGCCAGCCATTGTTCATTCGTTCTTACCACCCCCTCTTCCCAGTGCCTCCTAATCACTGTCCTCTTTTGGTTTGGGATGAGGAGGAGGGGTATGGAATCTTTTTCCTTCCTGCACATGAAAGAGAACATGCAGTACTTGGCCTTCTGTGTTTCTATAGCTGGTAATTTCCTAATGTACTGTTCCAGTTACATCTATTTTGCTGCACATGACAAGATTTTTGTTGTTGTTGTAGCTGAGTGGGCTGCATTGTGTGGCTATCTGCCCTGTTCCCTTCATCAGTTCATGTCTTGTGAGCACTTAGAGTTCTTATCTTTGCTTTGTTTCATGAAGTCTTGTTGTCCATGTTCTCATAAATGTGAATTCTTCCCATAATCCAAAGAAAATATTTAGAATTTTGAAAACTTAAAACTGTTGTTCAGGTCTAAGGTAGCCACTCGATTTGTTGGTTTGATTTTGTATTGTGAACAATTTTCTTCTGAATTGTCCTAAAAGTTTTGTTGCTGTTTGTTGGTTTGTTTTATTTTAATGCAGTACTTTGATGTACATGCTCCACCGTGAAAGTTAAATCCTGTAAAATTGGGACAAAGGCCACAAGAAAGCTGAGCTACAAACAGGGCCTCAATCTGTTGGTGCCTCTGGCTCACTTAATGGACCCCAGGGAGCCAGGAGGGGATCACAGCAGGCTGTCCTCTCTCTCTCTCTCTCTCTCTCTCTCACACACACACACACACACACACACACACACACACACACACACAAATAATGTGTACTGCTTAAGTGCATGCCTGCGTGTATTTGTATTAATTTCTCATGAGGAGAAGCTATTTGTAAGCTCCTCCATTTAGCAGTGTCTGAAGAGACAAGGGAAGGACAAGATGGTGGATGCATGTGACCTTTACAGAAGTTCTGATAGGGAAGAGCTTTTCTCCACAGTGCAATTGAACAACATTATTATAAGACCAGAAGTTCACTGGGGAGTCCAGGGCTTTCTGGTAGGAGATTGAGGAGTTCATGGGAAGGGTGGGGTTTGAATTAGTTTTGGAGGGCAGAATTGTACTTTGTGGTCTGGGATGTTTTTTTTTTTTTTTTTTTTTTTTTTTTTTTTTCTTGCCCAGGCAGTAAATCCTTAACTGTTTCACTCATTCCTTCTCTCCTGCCATCTGGGATTTTTAAGGTGTAAAGGGCCTTCAGGTTTCTCTGGATCCTTGCTGATTAGCATTTTCACTGTCTTTTAACCAGACTATCATTTCTCCTGTATATTTCAATCATCTAGTCTTCTGCACCCTGACTTCCTTTTGTTGTAACTCCTGGATCCTGTTTCACATCTAACAGTGAAATCACTACCTTACCTTAGGAACGTGACCCTGTATTTCCACTATCCCCTTGGCCTTCACTTTGTTCAATAAGTGTTATTGCCAGAAGCCATTCCCTGTTTCAGAATGCTGACTTCTTATTGCCTGCCCTGTTCATAGGCATCATTCTGACCTTTTTAGACCTTTCTCAGTTACACTCTTTTTACTACTGTCCTCTGCACATACACACATAGACACATAAGCCTTCATGTGCACATGTATATATACACACAACACCACACTTACATACACATAAAAAGTTAAGTGGAAAGAGACTGTTGAGAGGGAATGTTGACAGGAAAAGGTAATGCAGAAGTGAATATGATCAGTGTGCATTATATATGCGAATGAAAATGTGATAACCAACCCCGTTGTGTGCTTTATAAGTGAATGTGTGCTTATACATTAGTTAATTGTTAGAGGACCAATACAGTAGTAAACACAGTTCTTACTAGACTTAGAGTTTGTGGTTTTTGTTTTTATGGATATAGATGTTTTATAGATGTCTGTGTACCATCTGCTCTGTACCTATCAGAAGAAGATATCAGATCTCCTAGAACCAGAGTTATGGATGATTTTTGAGCCACTGTGTAGGTGATGGGAACTGAACTCCAGTCCTCTTTAAGAGTAACCAGTGCTCCTAACTTTGAACCATCTTTCCAGCCCCAGAATCTAATCTTAGACTTTTTACTGTTTTATTCCACCTGTTTATAACCATCAGTTTTGTAAGGAACTTTTTATTCTTAAACAAGTTCAGTTTTTCTTTTTGTGTTAAAAGATTTCCCCCTTAAGTACCCATCACGTGGCTGTTGACACCAGTAATATAGATGAATTTATCTTTGGTGAAGTAAAGACATTTGAAGTGTCACATGGGTGTGGAGAATGTCACTAAAGCCTTTAAGCCTGTATCTGTCCTGGAGCCCTAGGCGTCAGTAAGGCATTACAAACATCAGTAACCCTGACCACTAAGTATCTTGTAATGGTTCCAGATCAGGCTGCTCACACTGGACACCGCCCTGCATTTGCTTGTGGGTTTTTAGTTTTCAAAAGACGGTGTGGATGGCTAAGGCTCAGAGGTAGTGCCAGAGTAGTTCATTCTCCATTATATCTTCTTCTGGTTCAGTTGTTCTTAAACTTTTGAGGTCATGGTCTTTTCTGACCACCTAGTTAAATCTGCAGAGGCACACAGAATCAAACACACCATTTCAGGGGACCTAGGGACCCTTTGAGGTCCTCCTCCATCTTAGTCAGTTTAGTTGCTATCTTAAACCAAATATGTCACTCACTGTGCTGCTTGGTTCCCTGGGTCACCATTTTAGTTTCCTTCTAAATACACAGGAAACAGGCCAAGGCTCGGTGCATAGCTGCTGCTAAAACCCATTGTGTCCCCTACCAATGCACACTTCCTTTTGGAAACAGTGGTACATAAGTGTAGATCTGAGAAGTTCTGCCCAAGAATAGAAAAGGCTGTTAGAAGCATTAGTAAATATCTGCATGTTCAACACTGAGCTCTCTCTGCCCAGTTAAAGAAGTTTCTTCAGGTTATGAGCAGTTTGTAACAGGACCGTACCTTGTTATTTAATGAAAGAATGAAGCCCATGTCTCCATACTTTGATACTCAAAGATGAATCTCTCAAGAGGTTTGGACACTCGGAGTTGACAGTCTAGATTTGGGGTTTTACTGGGCTGCTCTCTTTGGGTGTTCTTTCTTTACTGGGGAGTAGACCAGACCAGTGGCGCCAAAAGGAGGGATGAGAGAGACATCTTCACAAAGTGTGTGGTGTGGCCTGGTGCTTTTTCAGGACAGTCAGTCACAAGATGAAAACATCTTTAGACTCTCCAGCCTCTCAGTTCTTGTACCTTTGTTTCTAGTCAAATCCTAATATTACGGTTAAATAAGGATCAGGATAAACAAATAGGCCGAATAGATGTTTATTCAGGGAGAAATAACTTACAACCTAGACAGATGAACACCAGGGAATTCCACCTGATCCTCTCCTGTCCGAGTCACGCCAGCAAGAGAGCTTTTCCCGGCTCCCTCTCCGACCTCCTTCCACAGGTCACTTCCGCCCATGGCTCCACCCCCCAATAGGCCTGGTCAGTGCCGCAGGAGGACTATCTCACTACATCCTAATTTATGCAGAAAAGCAGAATCTTCTTAAGTGCTCTGAAAATAATCATAGTTTAAATCATGCTAGGTAAAAAATAAACGCCAACATCATAAAGAAATCACTGTCATGCCAGTGGGGTTCACAGTTCACACACAGATACTCACAAGAGTTAACTGAAGGGATAGGTCAGGACTGGCCATTTCATAGGAACCTGGCTCGAGGCTTGCTCAGGAATTGGAAATAGACATATTTCTAACCCAGTGTTCCTTCTGGTTCCTCCAACGCTTGCTACATAGGTAAATCACCTTGCCTCTGTCTTCCCATAACATGTGATTGTCTCCTACACTTACCAGTTATTCTGAGAATGAGTTAGTTACTCGGTTCAGATGTGATTCCCAGGCAAGCAGGAGGAGTATTCCCTAGAAACTTGCTGGAAATGCAAATTCTCAGGCCCTACATTGGAACAAATCAGAAACTATGGAAATGAGCACAGCAGCACACTTGAGAGGGGAACATTGGAAACAGGAAGCCTTTCCTGTGATTGGCAGGGAAACTTCGGTAAGGATGGATATGATGTGAGGCCAGTCAGTCATGATAGAGTTGTTGCTCACTCCAGAGTTGCAGAGCCACCAATGTGAGCGAACTTTCTGCTGGACTAGACCCAGCAAGAGAAGCATTTACTCTTCTACCGTTGCTTCTTAGAGGTAATTGTCCTTTGTAAGCTGTTAATTAGAGCTTTTTTTTTTTGTCTTTCAGCCCATGGACCAAGCTTCTCTCAAAAACAGCGATGTTCTGGTTCTCACTGGACTCACACAGATCCCCACTGCCAACCCCGACGGCATGGTGGGCGAGTTCTGCAGCAACCTTGGTAAGGGCCTTCTCAAGGCTGAACTTGTGTTCTGCATGCTAGGTTTATCCCTCATCTGAGTAGCCCTCCAGTCCTGCCCTCTGCGATCCCTCTGAAACCTCCCTGCTCTCCTTGTCTTCCACCCCTTAGGTTCCTCCTCCAAATGTACTATGTCCACAGGAGACCACCTTAGGGAATGTAAATCTGAATGTGTGCTAAGAGTTGTACAGCCATACACCAGAATTGTTAGAAGGTCCTAGAAAGGTGATCAGCATTCTTTCACAGACCATATTGGTTAACCTCTTACTATGGGTATGGCAGAAGCATGCTTGCAGGAAACGGCAGAAGGGTTACATCCCCTTACTCTGCTTTGCACATCCTAGCACAGAAATGACCCACATTTGAAATTCACACCAGTGAAAAGATGGGTGCATAGAATTGTTCTCACTAAGACTTGGTTGCCTTTATTTTTTCCTCTTTGGGGAAAAGACTAAATTGGGAGCCTTCAGGATGTTTTCTGCTTGGAAAAACATTGATTTTTCCTTTACGTAAAATTGTCAGTGAAGTCTTGCAAATCCCATCCTTGTTTTAGGAAAATAGGCTGGCTCCTGTCTTTGTACGTGCAGGCTATGATGACAAAGTATCATCGTTGGTGTATAAACTGACATGACCACCTCACGGTATGGTCAAGGGAGTGGTTTTTAATGTAGATAGGAGAGAAAGAACATCGAGAAGTATCTGGAAGAATCTACAGGAGAGAGAAAAAAGTAAAGTGAACATGGCCGGCAGACTGGTTATAGCCAGAACTCTTGGGGGTTGGGAGAGGGTAGCAGAGGACAGAGAATAGAGAGACTTTTGTGAGAGAAACAGAGGAGAAAAGGGAAGCCATGAGCTGGAGGGAGTTTAAGGGAGGAGAGGAGGTGAGAAGGGCTAGGTAGACTAGCATGGACTTTGAAATGTGTGACAGGTACTTGTGATACTGAGGGAGCCTGGAGACTAGCGTGTGCTTTGATGTGCTGATAGGCACCACAGTAGCTATGTGTCCCTTCTGCCAGAAGTAAAGGAAATGACTGGATTTGGCAGATGGAAACCAGTTTCACAACCACCAGAAATCCTCCTATTGTCCAGGTTGAGCTTATTTCTGGATATTCAGACTGCCTTTTGGAGTTTGAGGACTTGGAGTTTCCTTTGGATCTAACAGTTGGGTGGCTTAGGCAGTGAGCATCTGTCTCACAGTCCTGAGACTGGAAACTCTTGAGACCCAGACCACCACACTTTTCCTGCATTCTCACATAGAGCAAAGGAAAGCAAGCCTCTCAGTTCCTCTTCATACAGAGGCACTACTCTCACCGTGGGGTCTCTGCATCCATGAGCTCATCCAAATGTAATTAACTTCCTTCTCAAGTCCCTACTGAACATCATCATATTGGCTGTCTGGCTGCCACATATAAACTCTGCAGGGCAAGAGGCACAAACATTAAGTCTGAGATAGCTCCAAGAGGGGTTAAGGGGATGACCTTCACCTCCCAGCAACTTTAAGTGGTATTACTCTGGCTCCAGAAGGCACTGTCCTTTGAAATCTCCTGAGCCTTGCTACTAATGCTGTTTTTATTCTTTGCCATGTAAAGCCGAAGGTAATTTATTCTTGCTGTGGAAAAGCTGTTGCGCTGGTCTCTGAGAGCTTCGAGTTTTGTGTATTTGTTAATAATCTAGAACCACAGACTCAAGGAACTTTAGATTTGGGGAAAATCCAGCATCGAATGCACTGTGTCAGATGGGGGTCCACTAACCACTCTCCTCAAGATCATCGAGGTCAGCTAATAAAAATGCAAACTTGAAGGTCCTTTCACAGATCCACTCGGCTGGGGAGAAGAGGACCTGGGAGAAAAGCTGTGTATTCAGCATGTCCCCTAGGTGACTTTTATACAAACTAAAGCTTGAAAAGCACTGGCTCCATCATTCTCCTCATGTACTAATGAGGAAACTGAGGCCAAGCCAGGTTGAGGCGGGCAGCAGACTATCCAGTCTCTCTGAAGTGTTTCCTTTGTCCTGTGTTCTAATGGCAGCAATTCACAGCCTCCAGGAGACCTGTCTGTCACAGCAGGAATGGGCAGGGCTCATGACTTCAGATCCCACACCCAAAGCCACCTGCTTCCATTGTTTTATAAATGAAACAGAAGCAGACTTGACTTTACAGATTTTCAGCTACTCAACACTTTTAACACATTACAACCCACAAATTGTGATTAATTCTACATTCCATAACTGGTTTTCGGTGTTTAATAGGTAGTTTCTTACAGACAAATACTAGTGAGAGAAAGTGCAATGAAAAGAACTTAAATGGAAAAACAGTTTATTTCCTTCTGGATCACTCAGCCATGGTAAGAGACTGAGCAAAGATGTCCTGCAAATCTTAAATAGGATTTAAAGAGAAGGGACTGGTTGAAGCTTGGGTTCAATGGAGTCATTAAAACCCACACCATCTTCCCAGAGACGGTGATGAGAACATCAGCCTTCAGGCCTGTGTTGCCCTGGTGTATGCTCCTCTGCAGAAGAAATGGATGCTTGTGAAAGCATTGAGTCGTAAGAGGAGGCTGTGGCAGGAAGGTTGTGGGGGGACATATAGAGAATAGTGGAGTTATGTGTGGAGGGAAGGGAAGCCTGTGATTGGAGGAAGTTTAGAGTAGGTAGGAGGTAGGAAGGACCGGACTCTACTAGGATGGACTTGAAATGTATAATAGGTACTGGTGATACTGCAGGAGGCTGTATCACCATAGGCATAGGTAGCCATATGTCCCTTCTGCCAGAGTTAAGGGAAATAAAGGACTCCTTTAGATTGATGGAAAGTGGTTTTGTGAGTTCTTGAGGGATAGTCTGCTGGCTTTTATCTAACAGCCAAAAATCCTCCTATAGTCCAGGTGAAGCTCGCCTCTGGACGTTTGGACTGCCCTTTGGAGTTGGGAGAATTGAAGTTTCCTTTTAATCTGACAAAAGCTACAGAGCAAGATCCTGTCTCAAAAATAAACAAAATCAGATGTGAGAAAGCAGAAGAAATGTAATTGCTGTTTTAAAAGCTGCATTTGCCCTTCTTAACACTGTCCTTTGGGTGCCATCTTCTCTTTCCTCAACTTTTTCCCAGCTCTGACAGTTCGGAATGGAGGAAATGTGTTGGTTCCCTGCTACCCTTCTGGAGTGATCTATGACCTCCTGGAGTGCTTGTATCAATACATCGACTCCGCTGGCCTCTCCAACATCCCCTTCTACTTCATCTCCCCAGTGGCCAACAGTTCCCTTGAATTTTCCCAGATTTTCGCTGAGTGGTATGTCAGTGTCCTTCTCAATTTCTGCTTCAGTACATTCAGTTAGAAGGGTGAAAATGAGTCTCTATGTGTGTCTGTCTGTCTGTGTGTCTGGTCTATCTGATCAAAAGATTGAACTACTGAAAGTAAAATCCCACATACCTCAAGAATTTAGAAGCATAGTTACCAAGGAGAGGATTAAAGAGTCTTGTCTGTTCTCAAAAAAAAAAAAAAAGGGAGAGGAAAGAAAGAAAGGAAAAATCATTGCTTACTTTCCTACCTACTAAAAAGAGAAGTTAGTTCCATTCTAAAAGGTCTTCACCCCCAAGTTCACCTTGTTGTAATTGACTATATCTAGTAAGAAAAGCTAGAGTTTTATTTCCATAGCCTGTTTTTCTTTTCTCTCTTTGGTTTTTTGAGACAGGATTTCTCTGGATTACTTTGGAGCTTGTCCTGGATCTCGCTCTGTAGACCAGGCTGGCCTCAAACTCACAGAGATCCACCTGCCTCTGCTTCCCAAGTGCTAGGATTAAAGGTATTCACCACCACTACTACTGGCTGAAAACAGAATTTTACATTACTCTGTCCTAGTGTATCCCAGCGGTATGACCCTTGCTCCCACCCATGACTTTGGTATGGGGATTTTCTTCCCACTAAATTGTGGTTTCTCCCTGAATTGACACTGCTCATCTTGGTGGGTAGGACTATACTTTGTTGTTGGTCCTCACTGATTTTTATCCTTTACACACAGGTATCTTTCCCACATAGGATGCCCTAAACTTTATTTGTAGATTGAATCAGGATGCTGGAAATTTGTTTTCATCCAGATCCCCAGTAAAAATATTGCAACACACTCCTGGGCGCAGCCCTGAAGGCACAGTAGACAATGCACCCACCTCACCAGGTATGTGGCTGCAAGTATGGCTGTCACCCAGAGTACACAAGGGTGAGAGTACTGTAGGGTCTTTCTGTGATTTTGTTTTATAGGTGTTTGTTAGCTTGTATGTGGGTAATCCATGTTTACTGTACAAAAACAAAAACAACAACAACAACAAAAAAAAAACATAGAGACCATGAGCCAACACCACCACTGTCAGGATAAACCCACTGTTAGCATGAGACCTAGTTAACAGTTTTGAGACAACACCTTGCCAAGTGTGACCATTTAGTCTAAATTCTGATTTTGTTTTCCTAAAGGGTTCTAGCTCAGTAGTGCAGTGCTTGTGTAGCAGAAAACATTTAATTATATTAAACCATTATGAAGTCTTTGGGAAGACCACCATTTACTTGTATTCCCAGCACTCAGGAGGCTGAAGCAGGAGGATCATGGGTTCAAGGCCAGACTCAGCTATAAGTCAGACCTTATCTCAAAAAAAAAAAAAAAAAAAAAAAGTAACACAGGGCTGTAATATTGTCTCCTTTTTACATCACTCGCATCTGTATAATTTAGCTTATTATCTTGCTATTGGCTGGCAGGGCTTTTCCTTTTAGGAATAAGTCATAAATTGATACTATTTTATATATGTATGATGATAGCATTTGCCTTAGGTAAGTTACTAAAAGTGGAGTTACTGGAATAAAGGGTAGAAATATTTTTTTTTAAAGTTCATTATCTGACACTAAACTACTTGCCAGAAAGACTTTCATGTAAATTATTCCTTTTTTTTTTTTTTTGTTCATTTACTTCTTAGAGGTTTTATATCTCTTATGTATTTGAACTCTGTGTATATATTAAAGATATTAACTTTTTGTTAACATTCTCTAGCCATTTTTCTCATTTTGATATTTTTTAAATTTTATCTTGATTTGTTTTTCTGGTTAATTAACTTTGTACTTTAGAATAATTTTAGATTTACAGAAAAGTGTAATAATACAAAGTTCCCGTACACCTTTCATCTGATTTCCCTTGATGTTAATGTCACTTGTGACCAAACATATTTATCAAAACTAAAATGTCAGGGTGACTAGAGACATGTTTCAGAGGTTGAGAGCATGGATACTCTTTCAGAGGACCTGAGTTCAAGTCCCAGGACCCACATGGCAGCTCCCAAGTATCTGAAGCTCCAGTCCCAAGGGTAGATCCTATCTTTAGCCAGTGCGGACACTGCACACATGTGGTACACACACATACATGTATACAACACACACACACACACAAAATAAAAATAAATAAACCTTCAAAAAAGAGAGAGAATTTAAGAACTAAGTAATACTAGGGCGAGGGAATGATGGCATAGGCTTCTACTCACAGCATTTAGGAGCCTGGAGGAAGGAAAATTCATAGATCAAAGCTAGCCTCAGCTGCATAGTGAGTTTGAAGCCAGCCTCAGCAGCATGAAACACTACCAGACCAGAGATCTGGGAGCCAGAGCTGCCATTCCAGCTTGGGATGTGCTTGAGTGGCAGGAGCCACAGAATGAGTGTGCTTGCTTAGGGAAAGGAGTAACATCCAAAAAGCAGCTGGTAAAAGATGGAAGACTAGCTGCCCAAGGGTTCTGCGGGAAACATTAGGAAGAAAGGGAGAAGGAATGGTGTAAAGAGGAGTGAGATTAGGCATATGGTCTTTCCTGAGTGACTTAGGAATTGTGGGAAGCTCTCCCAGCATTAGGTCACCGCCCTCCCTCCTACCAGCTGCCAGTCTTGTCCTGAGCTATATGTGGGAGTCCTCTAGGCAGCTGGTAACCATCTGAAAGCCACAAGGTACTGGGATTTTGAAAATGTCACCATTCCAGTGTGGCCTGAAGCCCAAAGGTAGCTGCTCTCAGTCAGGGTCAAAGTCCCCACTTGCTTTAGGCACCTTGTTTCACTTTGCTAGCCCCCTTGGTGTAGCCTGCCTGCAAAGCACTTTCTCCCCGATGGGAACGAAGTTGCTGTCTAGAGATGAAGCCTGGAGTAACGCAGCAAGAGATTGTGGTGGAACCAAGTTAGGCCTGGTCATCCCAAGCCAGAACCACCATCCATTCACTGGGTCTTGCCGCTTCCCCTCTTTCTTGCTTGGAATGAGGACAACCTCAGACCCAACTGCTTCCTTGTGTCTGTTGGAAGCCACTCTGTAGTTCCTGATTGCAGGGCCTTCTGCTGTAGCCTGCAAAAGTCCCTGCTCCCTAATAGCCCAGTGTCTACCCCAGCTCCAGACTTAAGGGTACATTTTGCTTGCTTGGTTGTTAGGTTTGCTTTCTTTTTAGAGGATAGAGTGGAAGGGAAGGTCCCAGGGACTTCCTGTGCCACAGTGCCCTCAGAAGTGTATAAATCTGACACCTGTACCCCTTGTTTTTACAGTATTCTCACGGGGTTCTTAAAATAGGTTCCTAAACCATATAGTGTGGTGTGCATGCTTGTGTGTGTGCTTGCATTGACCAACCTGGTCACTACCCGTTGACTGGTCAGTTAAAAGGGTTTTTTTGTTTTGTATTGTTTTGTTTGTCAAATTGCAGTTTTCCAGGCTTCTCTGTTTTTGTTTTGAGCCAGAATCTTTACTCTGTAACCCACTCTGGCCTCAAACTCAAATCCTTGTCTTAGTTCCCTTACAGCTGGCTGAGCGGTGCTTCTGTAATGGAATAGGGCATGTGCGTCAGCAAAAAGCCTTGTCTCAGAAAAGGCAGGCGCTCTTCTCCCAGACACTGCCGAATGTAACGCGGTGTCTCAGGCTGGGTCCTGGGACAGGAAAAGGACCCTGAGTGGGAGATAGCCAAACCCAAATCGAGTCTGGGCCATGGTACAGGGGCAGAGTTCTTGTCTATCATGCACAAAGCAAAAATCAAAACAGTTACAATGATGATATCCAAAACCTGAGTGTCTAATACACTTACCTGGGCATAGCAGTGTCACACCAGCCCTTGTGAGTTCCAGGCCATCTGGACCACATAGGAGCTGGGTACAAAGAATGTTTCACAATCGTGTAAATTGTTAACACTGAGAACATGAAAACTACTCTCCAACTTGTTTATAAATCAAAGATTACTCCAAACAAGTAGTCTATTTCTTTAGAAAAACTGCTTGCAAGAGACAGTGTCCTGAATGAGCTGTAGGCCTGGCTTTTACTCACTTGAGTCAGTGCCAGGAAGCTTTAAAACAGTGGTTCTCAACCTTCCTAAAACAGTTCTTCAAGTTTTGTTATCCCCCGACCATAAAATTATTTTGTTGCTGATTCATAACTGTAATTTTGCTAGTGTTATGAACAATAATGTAAACTTCTATGTTTTCCAATGGTTTTAGGCAAGCCCTATGAAAAAAACCACTGCTTTAGCTGGGCGTTGGTAGTACACGCCTTTGATCCCAACACTCAGGAGTCAGGAGGCAGAGGCAGGAGGATCTCTGTGAGTTCGAGTCCAGCCTGGTCTACAGAGCGAGTTCCAAAGCTACACAGAGAAACCCTAGGGGAGGGAGGGTAGAAAAGAAAAAAAAAAAAATCCCTACTTTAAAAGAATGTGTGTATTTCCTGTTTGTGCTGCTGCCACTAGGTGGCAGTAAATGCCAGTGCACTGCTTAATGCCTTGCTGTGTCTTCCTCTTTAAAGGCTTTGTCACAACAAACAGAGTAAAGTGTATCTCCCAGAACCGCCTTTCCCGCATGCAGAGGTAAGAAAACAAAACCAGTGAACCAAGACACAAAAGAAATGTGGATGGTGATATGATGGGATTAGAGACAGGTAGATCTCTGAGGTCCAAGCCAGCCAGGGCTCACAATAGGATGCTGTTTTAAAAACAGACAGATTTTTAAAGAAGATAAGTACTCCAGCTCACAATTCATTTTCCTCCTCTAATTAATACATCGTATTACAAACTCTGGACATTTCACAGCCCACTTCTGCTATAGTCTCTGCAAGGGACTTTTATTTTAATATCTACTCCCCACTTTTTTAGGAGCAAATCTGTTATCAAAATGTTCTTTCTAGTCATGGCGATCACACATATAATATTTCTTTAATGTTTAAACTATTTGTATATGTGTTCATGTGTGTGCACCAGTTAATTGCCCACGCACCTTGTTTTGAGACAGGTTCTCTAACTGAACCTGGAACTTATTAATTCAGCCAGGCTGGCTGGCCTTCAAGCCTCCTGACTTCACCTCCCCAGCACTGGTCACAGAGGCACACCAGCTTTTTATCCAAACTCAGGTCCTTGTGCTTGTATTGCAAGCACTTTAGCAACTGAGTATTCCTGGTTCACATGGAAAGTTGCAGTAGTGAAGATAACATTGCAGTCAGCAAGATGGGACGTCCCTTCCGCACAAACCCAATGGTGTTTCCATGCCACTGTTTGACTTCTGCCATTTGCTCACCGGGTGGCATCTCATGCACATTTCTATGTGTGACTCATGTTGGTATTACTGTTATTGCTGCTTAATCATCTGTACCGGATCACAAGCACACTACAGTGAATTCAGACAGTTCTCCTACTTTATGTTAAAGAATTCTCAGCTGATATCACCACTTCAGAAACAGCAATAAGCACACTTGGAACCTTTGTTCCTGTATACCATATGTCACATAAGAATATTGTCAAAAAAAAAAAAAAAAAAAAAAAACACGGGAACTCTGGGCGATCACCCTACTCCACACTCAGAGGCCTGTGCAGACTCAAGTGGACTTTGTGACAGCCGCTGCCTCCACACTGTCCTTTCCAGAATGCCATCACCTTCTTCTCGTAACTTGTTCAGCACTGAATTAACTGTTCATTCATTTACTCACTGATGGACATTTTAGTTGTTTTCAAGTTTTGGCAATTATGAGTGAATGCTGTGCAGATGTGTATGGGCAGGGTTCTGTTCAACACCAAAGGAGCGTGAGACTGGGTCCTCTGGTGAGTGTGTATACATTCACTTAACAACAGCAACAATGCCTTCCACCGTGGCTATACCATTTCTCATCCCACCAGCAAGGAGGGAGGATGCCTCTGTACCACACCCTCACCATCCAGATACGGTGGGTCTAGCCCCTGGCTATTGCACTGGATAAGCAGTGTCTGCTGCTCTGACTGTATTTCCCTGATGGTTCCTGGTGTTAACACCTCCAGATGCTCACTTGCATCCTCTCTGGGGAGTTACCTTCACAGACCTTTGGCATAAGCCAGCTGGTTCAGTTTTGACAGCAGTCCTCAGGCAGGTGTGGCTTCAGCAATATATCTTTCCTAGTCTGTTTTTTTTTTTTTTTTTTTTTTTTAATCGTCCTCAATTGTATTTTTCGGTCATTTCTTCAGCTGACAGCTCTTGGGTTTTTTTTTAATGTGTTTTAGCTCATTCAGACCAATAAGCTGAAGCACTACCCCAGCATCCATGGAGACTTCAGCAATGACTTCAGACAGCCATGTGTGGTGTTCACTGGGCATCCTTCCCTCCGGTTCGGGGATGTTGTCCACTTCATGGAGCTCTGGGGAAGTCTAGTCTCAACACTGTCATATTTACAGGTAAATTTTAAGAGTAAACAGGTTCCTATATGTAATCTCAGCACCAGAGAGGCTGAGGCAAGGGGACCTAATTCCAGGGCCGCCTGTCTCCAAAAGTAAAATACACAGGCGTAAAATAGATATGAAGGAATAAGAGTAAAGCATTGTCGGTAACTGTGTGTCAAACACTTTTGTTTCTGTTCCTTTCCATCCTTTTTTCCAATGCTAAAAATCTGCTGAGCTGCTCTCTGATAGGGTTTGTAAGATGTTGAGAGCCTCAATGATTCCAGTAGCTGGACTGGTTTTGCCATTTGGTAGTTGTTTACTTAGCTGGATCTGGGGTCTTTGACTCTGGTCTGCTCTAACTTACTGCCACTCTTCCGGAAACAGACCCCTCAGGAGCATAGCCTTTAGTGAGATGAGGCTATTCAGAGGTGACAGGGATCTCCTTATTTTATCAGCATAAGGCCCTCACACTGCCTTGAAGTTTAGAAATCTTACAAGCTATGAAGTCAGAATCTTGAAAGATTGTTGTACCTTCAGCCATGCCCATCTGTATTAGTCAGGGTGCTCTAGAATAACAGAACTTATAGAATGAATTCATTCATTAATATATATGATGGAATTTATTAAAATGACTTACAGGCTGCAGTCCTGCTAATCCAACAATGGCTGGCTGTGAACAGAAAGTCCAAGAATCTAATCACTTAGTCCACAAGGCTGGACGTCTCAGCTGGTCTTCAGTGTACACTGGGTTCCCAAAGAAGTAGACTCCAATGCCAGTGAGGGAATGGATGTGCTAGCAAAGTGAGGGCAAGCAGGCAAAGAGCAAAGGCTTCCTCCTCTATGTCGTTATTTAGACTCCCAGCAGAGGGTGTGACCTAGATTAAACATATGTCTTCCGGACTAAAAGGTCCAGACTAGAAGTAGAGTCACCCACTTCAAACCAAGCAAAAATAATCTCTCACAGGTGTGCCCTCCATTTCAGGATTGTGGTTCATTTCCAATGGAGTCATGCTGACAGCCACAAATAGCCATCACACTATCCCTAGGCTCATTTTCCTTGCTACACATAGGATCACTGGTACCCTCTGTCTGGGTAGATGCAGGCCTTATGGAGAAGTGTATTAGCACCTCAGAGCAGCGCTGGCACTCAGTGGCTGTCAACAATGTCCTTCACGCTCTTCCTTCTTATAATTTGGTTTGTGGTTAGCAAGATGGCTGGCTGGGTAAAGGATCTGCCGAGCATGACAGTTGGTGGAAGGAGATACGTACACATTGTCCTCTGACCTCCACTCACATGCCATGGCACATGCACACACCAGAAAATAAAAATAGCCTTCTAAAAAATCATTTTTAAAACTTGGGTTTGAGGTTAGAGAGTATAATTACATCAGTAGTTATCTGGGTCAGGGCACATGAGGGCACATGCTCAGCCTCAGTTTGTAAGAACTGTTGGCAGCCCCAGACTGGGACCACCAAGAATTTGGCTGCAGTAGAGTAACTGGATTCCATACAACCATTACAGTAAGGTACACACACCAGGATGGAAGAAGCATGGGGGAAAACTTCTTAAGAGATACCAGCAGGGACAGAGTGACAGACTGATTCACAGATGTTGGGCTCATTAGTCATCTCTGTGTCCTGTGTAGAAGGCAAGAATATAGGCAGCTAGGGTGAGGGTTGCTCATGTTGGGTTTGGTGCGGTGTTATGTTCTGTGTTTGTGCTAGATATTTGAAGGTTTTCATGGATCCTGTGTGGTCCCTGAAAAGCCTTGTCTCACATTGATGTTCTGTGAAGTGTACGTCTAACAGCAAGACATGGTGGCTCGGCTGTACCGGGAGCACTCATGACCCTCAAGGACTGCTTTGCTGTCCTCAGACCACCTTTAGAACAAAATCAGAGGCTGTTGATCCACAAATCCTAAAACCTGCCTATCACCAGGATTTTGCTGAGATTGTTAAAGCACTGTAGTGAGGCAGTGGCTGTCTCTTCTGCTCTCTAATGAACCGTGGCTGATGTGACAGTAGTTACGGGGTTCCATGGGCATAGTGAGAGAGGCCAGCTGAGAAAACAAAGGCTGTGAGATGCCCAATTGCACTGGGCAGCGTGCTGACATTTGTGCTGGCTTGTTGGGCTTCAGGGGCAGGTGTGTCATTTCTGATTCCCACTCAGGTTTGGGAATGTTTCATTGACCTTTCCCACGTGTCATGCCTACTGTATAGTATCCCTTGCTGGGTGGCCATGTTACCAGAGGTCTTAGAATGAAAGCCTGGGCTCTGGCAACCCTAAAAAGCTAGGCTCAACCACCCATCCCTATTATGCCAATTAAAGAGACAAAATATGTGAAAGCAGAGAACAATTTATTCAATGTGGCCATATTATGAAGAACCAGTAAAAGGATCATTAGCACCCATAGATCCATCTTTGAGGTAGCAACATAAGATTAAAGTTTAAATAGAAATGCAGCAGTATGCCTAGTTAGCAGTCCTGGTCAACATGTGGTTCTGCCCATTGCTGACCCATCACAGCTATCTGCAAAGTGGTCTTTATATGTTGTTGGACTGTGAACTCTTCCCGGGAGCTGGGATCCTCCTCTGGCTGGTATTAGTATTTCAGCCCTTTCCTGCCCTCAGCACAGGAGTCATGGAGAAGTTTTCATTCTTTGAGTTCTGTTGCTTCAGAGGTTAGATAAGCTGAGGAGGGACTCCGTGTCTTAACAACCTGTACTTGGCCCCTTGGGTATTGTGGGCTGAGCACAATATACTGTTCTCTTGGCTCTGGTGGGCGAATGACAATCTCGGCAGGAGCCTGTTGACAGGGTCTCCTGTTTGCAGTCTGTGTTGCAGTCTGTGGGGTGAGTGACATCAGGTTGTGCTGCCCGCTTTATCTCCCACCCGGGTGTTCACTTTGAGCAGCCGGTGGGTATTCCTGTGACTTTACCAGGTCTTGTTGCAGTAAACTGTCTTACAGGGGACACAAGCTTTGGATCTAGAGCTTTAGTGCTGATTCACATGAATTAACCATCACTGTGATGCTTACCTCATGGTACCTTTTATATATACACCTTTACTCTTGTTCTTTTAGGACAGGGTCTCACTACTATGCAGCCCATGCTGCCTTAAACTAGCAGTCCCCCTGCCTCAGTCTCCAGAGTGCTGAAGTTGCCGTGTACACTACACACATGGTTCCTTTTTCTTTCCATGTGTGAGCTGGCACTTTCTTTAGAGAAAAGTTCATTTCTTTATCGTATTGCTCTCAGGTCTCACTGTCGTCTCTGTTTAGTAAGCCTTAGAGCCACACCCATGCTCTTGGATCCAAGTATCATCACAGGAGTCCACCCAGCCTCTCCTCTTCCTCCCGTGGCCCATATTCTGTGTCCCTGCTCATTCGAGAATTCCCCTACAAGACCGTCTGTGTGTTAAAGTCTCCTGTTTATACTTTCCCAGAGCCTGATTTCTCCTACCTGGAGGCCCTGGCTCCTTACCAACCACTGGCCATGAAGTGCATCTACTGCCCGATTGACACGCGACTAAATTTTATCCAGGTGTCAAAGCTGCTTAAAGAAGTGCAGGTATGTTTCCTCAGTGGGCCAGGGTCTGGATGTGGCTCTCTGTGAATCAGGTCTGCACAGCCACGATGTGAATGCTGCCAGTTGCCCTTCAAACTTCTGGAAATGATCTTAATTCTCTGAAAGGTTCCCCTCCAAAAAAAAAAAAAAAAAAATGGAAAGGGAGGGAAAGAAGGCATAAACAGGTCTATTTGATGAGGATAACTTCTGGCCACCCCCCCTCCTCCAAGTCAGTCACTCAGCTAAATCCTGAGTTGAGTTCCGTGGTAGGTTGATGGTTAGTCCTTTTTGCAGAAAAGGGAAGTAGTTGTAGTGAAGGGGAAATTTCTGCTTGTGGTAGGAGATGAGCCAAGGCATTGAGATAGCAAGTGGGGGAGGCAATTAGACTTGGCAAGGAAGACAGCTTGGACTCTGTGAGAGGAAGGGTTCTGATGCCTTGACCATGGTCTCCAGAGCTTGAGTGCCTGCTGAGGGACCTGCGCCTTCACCCGGTCATTCTCGGTAGAGTTGCTTCCTCCATCTCCTAGCTTAGCTCTTTCATCATCTTCACAGACTGTGCCATCAGGAGGAGGTGCTCATATACAAAAGGAGATTGGGCAGGGTGACAAGAGACAGGAAGCTCAAGAACCCCCAGGGAGGCAAGCAAGATTTATGCCAGTGCCCTAGCCTGTCACCTTGGGTGGACACAGAGTGCCCTGTGTGCTCATCAGCATGCAGAGGAAATGTCTAGGGACATCGTGCAACTTAAGTCCAGGTCCCTAAGCCACTTTCATACATACCACTGTGTCACATGCTGATATTAGAAATCAGAGGCTATCTTGTCCCCAGCTCCAGTGATTAACACTCTGGAGGAGACTGAGGCAGGGGACACAGAGCTGTCAGATGCTAGCCAGGTTAGGAACAACACAGGGCCCTAGCTCTAAAGACCAAGCCAGGCCCAGCCGCTGGAAACCTTTGTTCTTGAAATAATTTGAGCCTTAATCCAAACTCTTAAATCAGAGCAGGGACAGCATTAGCATCCAGCTGAGTGATGTTTATACAAATAGTTTCATCTCCAATTCACCGTCATCCTTAGATAGGCAGGCATATGTGGCCTGCCAGTTTCCACGGACCTGGGGATAGCCTAAGATATGCCAAACCCAGAACACTGGTCAAGGAATTGTAGTAGCTGATGGGACAAGTGTCACAGGAACTGAGCTTAGCATAGGGAGTAGACACACTGCTTGTCACCACCAAAGTCACTTAGAGGTAGCAGATCCTTCCTCCACCTCCTGGGTTCTCACACAGTACCCATCTCCCATCAGGAGTGCAGGCTTGAGCGAATGCACTCCAGTGGCCTGGTGGAGTGGCTTGAGTGTTCAGGATGATACAACAAGGGTCAGCAAGAGGTGGGTGCTGCACTGCACCCAGCTCCTACCCTTTCCTGTGACTTCCTTGTCCCGTTGCTCCTCAGCCCCTGCACGTGGTCTGTCCTGAGCAGTATACCCAGCCACCCCCGCCCAGGCCCACAGGATGGACCTCATGATCGACTGCCAGCCACCAGCCATGTCCTATCGGCGGGCTGAGGTCCTCGCCCTGCCCTTCAAACGACGCTATGAGAAAATTGAAATCATGCCAGAGGTGAGCTGCTGTCCTTTCGCCCTTAAACTCGAGTTTCCGCCAGAGCGCCCTCTGGGACAGGGCCAGTCTGTCAGAAATGAAGCAAAGAACACAGACCCTCAGGCACGTGACCGCTCCTTCCCTTAGCCTTCAGTGGTGTGTGGCCCTGCAGGCAGCACCTGGGTCTCCAGCATGGAGGATGCTAGTGCCCTCTGAGGGTTTCCCATCCTTCCTGGAACTCATGTCTGAGAAAGGAGAAATGTAAACTTATTTGTGTCTACTTCAGCATCATTTAAGGGTTCTATCTGGACAGGAATGCCTTACATTCTAGTCAGGGCTGTCTTGGGTTTTATCACACGGAAATGGAAAAGGTACAGTTGTGTGGTGCTGTGCTTAGTGACGGCTAGGGACGACAGCAAGGAAGAGGAGGGGCCTCCAGCACTTGGGTTTCTCAGTGCCTCTGCAGAGACCTTTGAATATCTTTGGCATAAGTGGCTTTCCCTGGGGGAAAGTTCCAGAAAACAGTTTAACTGGCCAGGCAGTAAAGTGGTTCTCCGACTTTCTCTCTGAGAATTGCCAGTGCTCTGCTCCCCTCCCCCTGCAGCTCCTCCGCCTCTGTCCTTTCAGCTTCTAAGCGTGCTTTCTCCAGGTTCAGATTCATGTGGGGGTCAAGGTTGTCATGGCAACAGTCACAAGTGTCATTTAACCACAGGAAGACGAAAGGGTTAAGATCCACTGCAGTTAAAGGACCCCAAACAGCAGCACCTCTGCAGCCTCTTTGATGTAGTCTTCCAGAAAGGAAGATCTCACACTGAGCTTGGGCCTGTTTCAGGACCCCTCTTATGGGGGGTGGGGCATGCTGCCCTCCTGAAGTGCTGACCCAGGGTTTGGGGCTCTAGGCTGACTCCCATGGAAGCAGGGGTGCAGCTGATCACTTGTCCTCTTGGAGAAGCCCCACCTTACAACTGCTCAGGGCTCTCTTACCAACTTGGTCCCTATGATGCCAGCCTGACCTGTGCAGGGAACAGGCATTTGTGGGGCAGAGTGTGTTTGTGAACAGGGCAGGGGTGAAGGATGGGACCCGACAGTCAGGTGTTTGGTAACTGCACCACAGTGTGGCACAGCTCACACTCCATTCCTGCTTCCTTTTCGTAGGAAAGCCCTCACATCTTGTGTGTTGATGTTTAAATGGTCATAGGGGAGCAGGGCATTAAGGCGTATGCACCCAGCAGATGTTGCCATCTGTAGGACAGTCCATAGATGTAGGTCCAGCACATAGGGACAGGAAGCTGCCCTCTTCGTCCCTGCTGCATTGCCCCGGAGCCACCGTGCGTTCTCACTCCCTCTTCTAGCCACTTGTCCACTCCCACCTCCACCCTTTCCCGCTGTGATTGGCAGGAGACTTGTGGGAGTGTGTACCTCATGTCATGCCATGAGTTATCTGGTCATTTTAGATTATAACAGTGTGAGTAAAATCTAAGACAAATATAATGGTCACCCTTGGAGACCTTTCCCACCAGGACAGAAGAATGCTGAGCTCCAGTAGGCCCTAGGCCACTATCCACCCTGGAATTCTCCCCTCCCCCTCAGAGGGAGCCCATCTGAAACCCTGCATTTGCTTTCAGCTGGCAGACTCCCTGGTGCCCATGGAGATCAAGCCTGGCATCTCCCTGGCAACTGTCTCGGCTGTGCTGCACACAAAGGATAACAAACATGTGCTTCAGGTACTGGGGGCTTCTGGGAACCCAGTCTCCCTTCCCTCGGGGAAGCTCTGGCCACATGAGCCGTCCTAAGGAGTGTCCTGTTGCCCCACTCTGGAGTAGCACCATTACCCCTACTTGCCATGGCACATTTCTTGTTGAGCCCCACACGTGAGCACTGCAGGGTGGGACTTGAAAGCTATAGACAACACACGCATAGCACAGCCCAGAAGGCCCGAAGCCTGACAAATGGGTGGGCAGCACTCACCTCTGAAGAATTCCTTCCGCGCATGCACCGTGTTGCCGGTGTGCCCCTGAAGCTAGCACTGGAGTACTGGGCACTGTGCTGGTTGCTGCCATGCATTCTCCTGGCTAATCCTCACAGAGCCTTGAGGTCCAGGACTGCCTGACCTCATTGTCTCATGTTTTCCACCGCTGTCTGGTGGCACAGCCAGCTTTTACCTGTTAGACACCAGAGTCTGTTCTTAGTCACAATGCCAGTGTCCATTAGGAGGGACTTCAGCATGTAGTGGAATCCCTGGAAATGTAAACATGGAACCCAAGTGATGTTGAGCCTGGCTTTTCATGCCATGGGTAACTTAGGACCAGCAAGGTCATGGCCTCAAATGAGTGAAGATGCTGTCACTGAAAGCGCCTTTAACCCTGTCCTAGCCCCCTCCCAGGCCCGCCCAGCCTGCCAGCAGTAAGAAGAGGAAACGGGTGAGTGAGGACGTTCCTGACTGCAAGGTGCTGAAGCCTCTGCTGAGCGGCTCCATCCCAGTAGAACAGTTTGTGCAGACCCTGGAAAAGGTGAGCTTGGGGGCCTGATCTGCTCCTAGGACAGATATGAGGCTCAGGAAGACCACTGCCATCCAGTGGTTCAGACTGTGATGGAGACAGTTAAGTCCTGTCTCAGTGGCCATCTATCCCCTGGGCCCGTATGGGTGTCCTGACTGCATAGTTATCTGTGAACCATGTATATGCCTGGTGCCCAAGGAGGCCAGGAGAGGAGTTTGGATCCCCTGATACGACAGTTATGAGCTGCCACTGGGTGCTCGGAATTGAACCAGGGCCCAGGTTCTCAGGAAGAACAGCCAGTGCTCTTAATCATGAAGCCATCTCTCTAGCTCAAAGGGGGAGATTTCTTGACTGCATTGGTGCTGGGGTGGGTCAGGGTAGGGTAGGGGCACACTACCTTAAAGATTTTTATGATGGTCACTTTCCACATTATCACCCTTGCTAGGAAGAGGGGGATGGGCTGAAGATGACAGGGAACATGCTTCTAGAGAACGGACATGATGGCAGGGAGGGACATTTTGCTACCACGCTATTAATAACCACACTGTCTCAGCTGCCAACTTCTTTCAAGTCTCAGAACCACAGCTTCCTGTCTCAGCAGGGTTGGTCTTCATCTTTTGATTTTCCCACACTGCTCTCCAGATCTTCCCACAGTCCTGCAGATGAGCAAAGGACCCCCATCTCCCTCATGGCCTGACAGGGCTCCTTTTTCCTACCTATGAGTTTTCAAACTACTCCTTAAAATAACTTGCTTTTTCCACAATGACCTTACCCTTTTCTCCTGCCTGGCTCATCCAGGAGCAAGCCCCTTTGATTGCATGGGCCCTGCATACCTCACCTCCTTCCCAAAGCTGAGTGGGTGTAGTCTGCAACCAAAGACAGACAGCCCCTGCATTGGGCTCTTTACCTGTTTTATGTCCCATCCAGGCAACTCTTTGTACTTTAGCTGCAGTTCTGGTTTCTAAGGAGATGCTACACTTAGCAGTAAAGGTGGCTGGAAAGATGCTGGCAGATGTCCAGGTTAGCAGTACCTTGCTGTGAGAAGTGGGGATTTCCTAGGGCTCAGAACAGTGTAGACTGGATGTGAGCAAATGTCAAGGTCAACAACCTGGTGTTTTCCCCCCCGAATCTCAGAGTCTGGATGTGTTCAAGTTCCTTGTACACTCCCCTAAACAGGGTGAAGCCATTCAGCGATTTTCCTGGCATTTTTGTGAGATTGGGGCCTTGTATAAATATGAAAGAGCTGTATTGAGAGTAATGCCAGTCTCCAGTGCTCAGTCAGGCCTTGCTTTCAATGTAGCCATCTCCTCTTTTCTCTTGAACAGCATGGCTTCAGTGACATTAAGGTGGAAGACACAGCCAAGGGCCATATTGTCCTGCTGCAGGAAGCTGAAACACTCATCCAGATTGAAGAAGACTCAACTCACATCATCTGTGACAATGACGAGACTCTGAGGGTACGGTTGCGGGACCTGGTCCTCAGGTTCCTGCAGAAGTTCTGAGTGGGGCATCAGTGAACTCCTAGACCCCTCACCTCGGACAGTCTGGTGGCGCCCTCTGGCTGCCAGAGAGGAGTGCTGTCTCTGGCCAGGACACCAAGAACTTTTTCCATTCTGAGCTCTTGAGTAGCTTGGGGGTGACAGCATGACAGGAGTCCTTTCCTAAGGGAAGTGTAAATATGACTGGCCTGTGTTTTCAGGATCCAAAGGGGCAACTCTTGAACTTACTTACCTGCCTATAGTGCTACACCTAAGAAAGGACAGTCCCCCAAATCAGAAAGTGAACCTATCTAGCTCTATTCTGTGGCCCATTTTGCTAAAATAAATATTATTTTTATAGAAGTACCCTGGTTCTATTGAACTACAGTCTAAATGATTTAACATCTGGGGGGGGGTGGGAGGGAATCTGAAACTTCACCCAACAGTAAAAATGCCACAGCACATCTGTCTCACCTCTGCCCTAATCATAACCCAGCCCCGTTTACAAAAATGCAGATAAGATTCCAGTGCTGGAGAGTGCAAAGTCACCCTCTGATACACAGCAAGTTCAAGGCCAGCTTAGCACATTAGAACCTATCTCAAGCAGCAACACGCCAGGAGCATCAGATCATTTACCCTTTCCCAGCACCAGGAATCACAGATATCCAACAACACAGCACATAAACAGGAACTGATTTTTTGTTGTTGTTGTTGTTGTTTTAGGAATGTATCACAAAACTTGGTAGGTCATATGATCTCTCTAAATTGCAAACTGTTCCACATGCCCTTAGTCCCAGCACTCAGATCCACCTGCCTCCTGAGTCTGGTCTACAGAGTGAGTTCCAGGACAGTCGGGGCTACGTAGAGAAATGCTATCTCAAAAAGAGGCAGCAGCAGCAATGAATTGGGATAGATTTCATCCCTTGACACTAGTAACCACAGTACTAATCCCTAACTGTGCTGTCTTCCTGATACACAATTGTGAATCCACCACAATAAACAGCACAATAAACAGCAACCTAATCTTTCTAATACATATTACTGCCTAAAATGCTGCTAGCCAAGGGTAGCTCAAGCCTGCAACCCCAATACTCAGGAGGCTGAGGCAAAAAAGTATTGCTCAAGTTCAAGGCCAACCTGAGTACCTAGTGCCTTTCCAGGCTCACCTGTAATACAAGCTATGACCATCTCTCAAAAACAATAATTTAAAATTTCCTGGTTCTAATTGCACTTTTATACTTTGAAAACAATGACCCTCCCAATCTGTAAGCCCATCCCTCCCTCCAGTCACCAATGTGCCCTGGTCAGGCTCCTGCTGCTGGATTTTGTGTGCTGCACTTTCTCTAACTTCAGCTGAGCAGAGACAGTTTCCCCCTGAACTCCAGGGCAAAGAGGAGCACATTCCCAGTGAGCTTCTGAAGGCGTGATGGATGTTAAGATCAAGACTAAAGACTTGCCAAGTCTAAGGAATGTTAGGGAAGCTCATCATGGAAGGAGGAAACCAGTTCCTGAAAGCTGACCTCTGACCTCCACGTGTGCATGTGACAGGTGTCCTCCCACTTTAAGTAAACACGTGTAACTTCCTTAAAGAACTATAGGCCCAACCTGCTTTGTGTTTTTGTTTATTTTTGGGACAGGGTTTCTCTGTGTAGCCCTGGCTGTCCTGGAACTCACTCTGTAGACCAGGCTGGCTTCGAACTCAGAGTTCCACCTGTGCTGGGCCTCCTGCTGGCCAGTTTTGTAAATATCACTATTATACTTGCTGTCAATTCACCTTTGCTCTAAAATGACTTCCTGATTCAGTGGAGGCTTTACTGATAAGGTGGAAAAAGTTAATCAGTTGCCTGCAAACAAAAACTAGCCACAAACAAAAAACAGTTTGCAATTTAGAGAGATCATATGACCCACCAAGTTTTGTGATACATTCCTAAAACAACAACAAAAAAAAAAAAAAAAATCAGTTCCTGTTTATGTGCTGTGTTGTTGGATATCTGTGATTCCTGGTGCTGGGAAAGGATAAATGATCTGATGCTCCTAATGGCTCCCACCAGGCACAACTTCATGTTTAGACTCCAGACAAACATGTATGTAAGAACTAGAGTAGAGGTGTGAGATAGAACATTAGATAGGTAGATAGAATAATAGCCACACACACTCAAAAACCAGAGAATTTGGGGAGTAAGGGAAGGGCAGCTCAGCCGGATAAGACACTCAACTGAAAGGGAAGAAATGACACGTTTCCTACATACTGCCTACAGGATGAAAATAATTGGCCTTGGGGAGGACGCACCATGTGAAAAGCAGTGTACCAGCTAAATAGACTAGAGGGTGATGTTGCCAGAGATGTTCATCAGAGAGATGATCACAGCTATATATCAACAGTGCTGAGGGGCAGGCCACAGAGCTGGAAAGTGGATGACACTAATATTAAAGCAACCAAAACAGTGCACTTATATGCATGAGCTAACAGAACTCAATAGCCTTCACCCAGGTTGCACCCCTTGGGCACAGAAGGTGCTGCATGCAGCTGCTGCACTCCAGCTGCAGGCCACAGACATCCACGAGAATGTGTGGTATTTTTATCATGGAGACCATGTGCCAGGCAACAGAACAAGTCTTAACTGTATTTAAAATCATCCAGGCAACATTCACCGGAGTAGAATTAAATTCAAATTTTACAAACCTGCAAATATTCAGAAATTAAGCATGCTAATAAAAGAAGTATGAGGCAAAAAGTTCATTGCCCGGGGGGGGGGGGGGGGGTTGTCTGAACTGAAGCTGGGAAGGTAGTTTAGTATGTAAAGTACTTGATAAGCAAACATGAGGACATAGGAAAATCTGGGTATGTCTGCATGTGCTTGTAATCCCAGCATCAAGGGAGGTGGAAACAAGTGGGTTCCTAGGCTAACTGGCTAGAGAACCCAGACTAATTGAGCCCCAAGACCCAGTGAGAGACCCTGACTGAAGAAACAAGCTCAGAAGGAACAATACTTAAGTGTGGTCTCCGGTCTGTGTGTGTATGCACACACACACATAGAAGTACTTGGGTAATAACAAGAGGCAAGGGCAGGCTGGGATAAATGCATTGAGGCTCCCACCTCAAAAAAAAAAAAAAAAAAAAAAAAAAAAAAAAAAGAAAAGGAGTTGTACTTAAAAGTGACTTTGAGACAGACCTTAAGCCTTTAATCCCAGCATTTGGGAGGCAATGGCAGGTGGATCCCTGAGTTTGAGGCCAGCCAGGACTACAGAGTGAAACCTTGTTTTTAAAGGGGGAGACTGCTAGAAGGCAGATGTGTTGCATGGCTAGCTAAGACTGCTCCTAGAACTAGAAATTCCTAGTGCCATTTGTTTGGTACAGAGGCCCCTAAGATAAATAACACAAGCTCTTGACATCCAGCAGAGCTATCTGGTAAAACCCATACACTTTGGTTGCAAGAGCTAGAGAAATCAAGCCACACCTGGACTAGAACTTGCCCTCTGCCAGCTAGCTTTCATACTACTGGAAAATGTTTTGTGGGCTAAGGGAGAAAAGCACCAAGATCTCAGCTGGCTATCTATAAACCAAGACTAACCTGCCAAGTAAACTGCCCACTTAGGCGACAGTGACAGTGACTGCTATGGGGGCAACCAGCTACTCTCTGGTGGATTTAATTCCTCCTCCGTGGGAGAAAACCTATGCCTGGTACTGTAACACTGGTCAAAAACATGGCTGGAGAGGCCATAGGCCCTTGGGGTAACTTTACTATTGTTTAGTTAGATTGACATAACATCAAACCGCCTTCTAAAGAGCTACACTTGGATCCATAGGCAAGTGCTACTATCAGCCCTAATCAGAAGCCTCTCCCTGTGATTTGTGGCAAGCACATGGGCACATGGCTAATCATGGTGCCTGAGTAAGTGACAGAGGGCTCAGCTTCCAACAAGACATTTATACTACTCACTCTTAGGCTCAGGGAACAAGGCAGAAGCAGGGCAGAAAGAATCTAAGAGCCGGAAGATAGGGAGAAAGGCTGTAAAATGCCATCCTCTGAGCATGCCATAGCTGTTGTTACCATGAATTCAGCAGCTACTTACCTGCACTGGCTTACACAATCAACAGTGGCTACTCTGAGATTCTAGAAGGAAAGTCACTGTATTCAATTGTGTGCCCACTGGTGAGCCCACCAAAGTCTAGTGGATAGTGCTTGCCCTGGTTAAACTCAGCTGGGTCACAAAACAAAACAACGTATATGGTGGAAAGGGGGATTACATAGGGGAGGAAGGGGATTGACAGGAGTGAGACAGAAATGAGAGGGAGGCAAATAAGTAATCAGATGAATTATACACGTGTGTCAAAGAACATTAATAAGAACGGCAGCGTGTAAAGTTTAGAAGAAGCTGCCCATCAGCAGTCACCAGGAAATGCGGCCTGAACTCCAAGCCAAGACTAGCAGTGCCACAGGCTCCGGGCATGTGGAACTGAAGATGCCTCAGCATCACTGCAGGTACAAAATGCACCGATGCTTCAGTAAGAGTCTCCCAGATCCTCAGAAAACTGTACAGATGTGCATCACCCAACAGCAACCCTGCTCACAGGTACTCACTGCAGGCACAAAGGTGGGGCCAACAAAGGACCTGCTCCTCAGTGTCCACGGCAGCGTAATTCCGAATAGCTGAACTCAGGAAACGGCCCAAGTGCCCAAGATGCCTCCAGCTCCAGGCAGCCCTCCTGCCTGAACTACAGGCCTGCACCATCACCCCTGGCTCGCTCATCACTGAAATGCACAAATGGCAAGACAGCTATCCCCTTCCCATCCTTCCTGCTGCCTCCCCCAGCAGAGGGTCTGAAATCCACCCCACAAATGTCCCCAAGGCAATCCAGCTCCCTGTGCCCACCCCCTCCCCAAAACTTGCCAGGCCATGGGTTGGGCCTGTCACACTCTTTCATCCGGAGCCCACTAATGGCTTCCTCCAGTGCTGTGCTCCAGGGGTCCTCCTCCAGTGGATGATGTAGAACACACAGGAGGCCACAGCCAGCCAGTAGGGCTGCACTGCCAGGAGACAGGTGACAGCCACTTCTCAGCACACAACCTAAGAGCAGCTGCAGTAGATGAGCAAGGCCTAGACATCTGAAACACATGTAGAGCCAAGCAGTTTGCCTTATTTAGGTCAATGCCGTTGGTTCATGTGAGCCAAAGGGACTGTCCATCTTATGAAGGCCCACGCCTGGCAGTCTTCGCCCTTTTGTGATTACAACTTAAGCAGATGGCCTTGACCCCACCAGTGCTATGGGCAACCCAGTGTCTGAGCACACACATACTCCAGATCAGAGCCAGTGCCTCTACCTCACCATCTATAACCAGTAACCCATGACAGTGCCATTGACA